TTTCCAAAGTGATCTTAAGTTGGTTTTAAGAAAATTAATGGTGGCAGCAAAGGTTTAAGAGCTCCTCAAAAAGAATTACCTCCTCGGCCTAGTACTCTTAAAATGGTGGCATCACCCTGAAGATTATTTTGCCTTTAATAAGTTTTCCAGTTAAATGCCGTAAGCCCTATCTTTACACCCGGGATTCCTCTGCTGTCCTCAATTCTAAAATTCACTCCCACTTTAAATATAAATCAATTTTCCTCAACTCACTGAAAGACAAAGTGTTGTGTTTAGTCCCACTAGAAAACTCTACAAAGGGGAGGGAGAGGTTTGCAAATGAATATGTGGTTTTTTGGTTTTGAATGGAGGTGCAGAGTGTCCCACAGTAGCAAAGTTTTGCACTGCTTCTGCATTGATTTCACAAGTCAGCTTGCCACTCACGATGAATGCTCCTATACAAGAGAAACCATGGAATTGGACTGCAGACCAATGAAAGCACCTTTCATTCTCCCCAAACCAACAGGAACCAGACTGGTGAATGGCACAAACCATTGCTCTGGGAGAGTTGAAGTGTTCATGAATGGAAAATGGGGGTCGGTGTGTGATGATCGATGGGACCTGAGTGATGCTCAAGTCGTGTGCAGAGAACTCGGCTGCGGAGGAGCTGTGTCAGCCCCAGGAGAAGCCCACTTTGGAGAAGGAAATGGTGCCATCTGGATATATGAAGCCCAATGTTTGGGGACCGAAGTCGCCCTTCAGAATTGCCCATTTGGAGAAATACCTTACTGTGGTCATAAACAAGATGCAGGTGTTGTGTGCTCAGGTAATTGATAAAAAATTAAGAAATATTGTTTATTTTCTTTGTTTTTTACCGTTCACAGCAGAGGTATTTTTTAAAAATTAACCAGTCTTTACACCTGGATATTAAAGGGGGGGGGGAGTGAGTGAAATATTCTCATGCTAGGAAAGACTACATATTGATCTTAATTACTCAACCTGTGGTGTGCAATTAATCAGGGTGAGTCTTTTCCTCTTAACACATACACACTCAGTAGTGATCCCACAGGAATTTAACCATGTACCTTAATAACCCGGGCATCTGCTTGTCCAGTTTTAATGGATTCTTTTCAATTGGTACAATCCGAGGATGTGGACAGGATCCTTGGGGGAGTGAGGGCCACCATGTGTATCCTACACTCCTGGCCTTCATGTCTGATAAATCCTGGCAAAATGGGTCTGGCAGAGTGGGTAAAAATGGTGGTCAGTGCCTCATTAGCCCAAGGCATAATTCCATCCAGCCTTCAAGAGGCCATAGTAAGACCTATTCTAAAAATGTCAACCCTTGACCACTCAATAATGAACAACTTCAGACTAGTGTCAAACCTTCCCTTTTTGGGCAAGGTTCTGGAATGCATGATGGCCTCGCAACTCCAGGGGTTCCTGGATGAAACGGTTTATCTAGATCGGTGGTTCTCAACCTGTGGGTCCACAGATGTTTTGGCCTTCAACTCCCAGAAATCCTAACAGCTGGTAAATTGGATGGGATTTCTGGGAGTTGTAGGCCAAAACACCTGGGGACCCACAGGTTGAGGACCACTGATCTAGATCCATCCCAGTCTGGTTTCAGGCCCAGCTATGGAACTGAGATAGCATTGGTCACCTTGGTGGATGATCTACGTAGAGAACTAGATGGTGGGACGAGGGAGCGTGCCTTCTCGGTGGTGGCCCTTTGGTTTTGGAACACCCTCCCCCCAGGGAGATTTGGCAAGCCCCCACACTGTCCTCCTTCCAAAGGGAACTGAAAACCTGGCTATTCAAACAAGCTTTTGAGAATGCCTATTCCCTAATTGATTTACGCAATTGTTGTGCAGGTCTTCCGGTAGTTTGGACACCTTGTGCTCAAACCAACTATCCACATTCTACTTGAGAGTGCCTTTACTGGAGAAGATACTAATTCCAGAGCCATTTTCCCCATCTCTCCCCACCACTGTGTCACTTTAGCCCTTTAGTACTTTATTAGAACCATTAGACTGTGGAGTGTATTCCAACTTTACCTTTTACTATTGCTGCTATGTATGATGACTATAATTAATTGCTGGTCCCATAATAACTGATACTTGCTGCTTGCTACCATCATCAGTCACTCCAGAAAGTTTAGTTTGCCATCTGGAGGTGTCATTAATCATCTGGCAGGCCTGTGGGCTTTGATCTAGCCCTCTGCTGCGGCTGGCCATATGGCCAGAGGGCCTGTGTCACCCCAACACCCCAACTAGCTGCTCTGGCTGGCTGAGCACCAGGGGGAATGGACCATCAGTCCCCACGGGATCAAAAAGGACACCACTGGCCACAACGAACTCGGGGAGCGTCGTAACACCAACCACTGGGCCCTGTGAAGCTAGTCACCTCCATCTTATCAGTGTGCTGCTATCGGAGATCTCATTTTACCGAGGACAATGGCTGACCTTGGGACACTGCTGAATGCTGAATTCCCACACATTGGTGACTTGATGGGTTGAACAGTGTGCCTCTTCCTCCAACATATTGAGGAACTCAACAAAAAACTAGACCACCTGCTTGTGTATGTTTCTTCATTAGCAATAGACCCATTTTGTGTGTGGAAGGGAGAGGAGGGGGTGACCTCCTGTCATGCTAAAGATGGAACTACGGAGAGGGGGGAGGATCTGGTAAGGGAAGGGGGAGGGGAGGATTTGAGGGGGGAGAATCATCTCACCACCACTAGGAGGGAAAATTAATCACCCTGCAAGCTAGAAAGTGACATGCAACAAATAATTTTCCAACCAAATGAGCTGGCTTTTGATATCTTAGATACTCATTTGAATAGAGGGAGATGGTGTTCATCTAAAGCTATCAAAGTGTCCCTAAGTCAGATTCTTAGGAAGAACTCTAAGGAATTTAAGATCACAACCATTAAATGGCTTCGTAGAGAGTACAACATCAACTTCTTTCATTTATTAATAACTTTTGGAGATGTTGATACACCCAAAGAGTTATATGCACTTAGGCCCTCCCTACAAGAATGGGGAGTTAAAGTAAGGAAGGTGTTTCAAAACCAAAGTGCGTCCCCTCTGGAATAGGTCTCTGGCAATTCCCCAGGAAAATCAAACTTTAAATAGCTCAGAGAATATCTTAGAAGTTGCCCCTCAGAATCAAAATAAGGATTCAGTCCAGAAAATGGTACCCACTCCTCTCCAGAGACTAGGTAACAAGGAACATTTCCCCAGCTACTCAAGCCCTAGGGAAAATGCCTCACAACTGACAGCAGAGCCCTACTTCCTCCAGCCTTACTCAATGGTTCCACTAGGTAGATATGAGCAAACAGCCCCACAGCTTCTGAACTTAATGGAACAATCATTAGAGCTCTTCTCCCATGACATTCATGATTCTGTCCTATTACACTTAAGAGAATCATCAGAAGAACTTGATGGGAGCCAAGCAATACAATATTGACTACCTCAGCAAGAACCTCAGAGTAAGATCCCCCTATTTCTTATCCCTTGGCCCAATAGCCCCCAATCCCCCAACCTGTATACAAAAAGCCTCCTGCCCTCTGCCCCCCAGGCTTTTAGCCCCCCACCCCTACCCCCAAGCTTAATGGCCCCTATCTCCTTTTTCCCCAAATAAATATCCCCTTGTCCCCCTCTCTCCAGTTGAATAGCTCCCTATGCCTTACTCCCAACCCTATCGCCCCCTACTTCTCACACCCCAGCCAAATAGCTCCCCCCCTCCCTCTCCTGGAGTCCAACAGCCCTCCCCTCCTATTCCCCAGGCCAATACTTTCTTCCCCATACTCTACAGCCCTCTCTCCTTATCCCCCAGACTAATAGCCCCTACCCTTTACCCCTCAGTCCAAAAGCCCCCCATTTCCTATTCCCCAGCCCAACAGCCTTTGTTCCCCCATCCCTCAGTCCAACAGCAACGTTGGACCACAGCCTAAGGACAGGAAGAGAGATTGGATAGAGGATGAGGGGAGCTCCAGTGGTCGGGGGGCCTCTATAGAGACAATATTGGGGAGAGGGAGATGTGGGAAAAGGAGATCAAATGTGTTAATTCGGCCTAGGGAATGTGAGAGAGAATTGGTAGTTCCAAAACGACTTCCAAAACTGTCTCCTGACATGGTGAATTTGGGTAACCAGGATGGCGGTCCCTCTGGGTTAAGGATGGTGCTGTTGAATGCCACGTCTGTGAATGAGAAAACTGTAATCATCCAGGACTTGATTCTGGATGAGGACGCAGATCTGACATGCACAACAGAGACCTGGCTGATTGAGGCGGGGGCTCTGCCCACCAGGCTACTCTGTGCAGCATCAACCAAGATCTGGAGGGTGGGGAGGTTGGGTTGCAGTGATCTAAAGGGATTCCATCTCCTTGACCAGATGCCCATCCCACAGACACCCTCATTTGAATGCGCCCACCTGAAGGTAGGAGATCGGGACAGAATAGGGAGACTTGTAGTGTACCGACCACCTCGCAACACTACAACCTCCCTACCTGAGCTAGCCGGGGTGATCTCAGGCCTGGCATTGGAGTCCCAATGGCTTATAGTGCTGGGGGACTTCAATGTTCATGCAGAGACCTCCCTGTTGGGAGTGGCTCAGGACTTCATGGTAAGCATGGCAACTGTGGGGCTGTCCCAAGTGGTTTCTGGCCCTACTCACAGTACTGGACATACATTGGACTTGGTGTTCTGTCAGGGATGGGAGGAAGGTGGTAGCATGGAGGAACTGTCTTTAGTCCCACTGCCATGGACCGATCACCACTTGGTCAAGTTTAGACTCACTGCACTCCCTAGGAGGTGGAGGGCCCATTAAGATGGTCTGCCCCAGGAGGCTTATGGATCCAGAAGGATTCCTGACAGCTCTTGGGGAACTTCCCACCACTGAGGTAGGTGATTCTGTTGATGCTCTGGTCGCTTTCTATAACAGGGAGATGACCAGGGCAATAGACACAATCGCTCCGGAGCGACCCCTCTCAAGTAGCAGAGCTAAACCAGCCCCCAGGTTCAACGAGGAGCTAGCAGCGATGATGCGAACAAAGAGGAGGCTAGAGAGCGTGTGGTGGAGAGATCATCTCGCGGCGAGTCAGACCGAATACCAGACCCAATTCAAGGTGCAGGTTCTTACCTACAAAGCCCTAAACGATTTGGGACCCGCCTACCTGCGTGACCGCATTTCTGTGTACGAACCCACACGATCTCTCCGATCATCTGGAGAGGCCCTGCTCGCGCTCCCACCTCTGTCGCAGGTGCGACTGGTGGGGACGAGGGAGAGGGCCTTCTCGGTGGTGGCCCCTCATCTCTGGAATTCACTCCCTAAGGACATTAGGCATGCCCCAACTTTGGCAGTCTTTAGGAGGAGTCTGAAAACATGGTTATTCCAATGTGCCTTCCCAGAATAACTCCTAGCAATCTGTCCTTAAATGCACTTTATTAATGACCTAGGATTGTTTTTGCATGCCCATCACTTCCCAGAAATCCACCCTAATCATATTTTACCTGCCATGTCCAGCATATTTTAAAATTTTAATTATTACATTTGGCCCAGCCATAAGTTTTTAAATGTCGTCGTGCTATTGCTAATGTTTATTGTTTATTTGCTGTTATGAGTTTTTATTTACTGCTTGTATTATTGTTGTTTTGCTTTGTTATTGCTGTGTTGCGGGCTCGGCCTCATGTAAGCCACACCAAGTCCCTTGGGGAGATGGTACAAATAAAGTATTATTATTATTATTATTACTATTATTATTGCCTCTGTGAGGAATTGTCCAGCTGAGCTGTTTTGAATGGTCAGAGGTTTGTTGAATCACCACCTATGCGGCGTCTCTGGCTCTTCGACAGCTCGCTGTGAGGCATTTTACCTGTCTGAACGCATCTCCTCCTATGAACCACCACGGAGATTTAAGATCTTCCGGGGAGACCCTGCTTTCCGTCCCGCCATTGTCACTGGCATGATTGGTGGGGACGAGAGACAGGGCCTTCTCAGTGATTGCTCCCCGGCTATGGAACTCCCTTCCTGGTGAGATCAGGTCAGCCACCTTCTTCCTGTCCTTTAGAAGGATGGTAAAAACTTGACTGTGGGACCAAGCTTTCGGGACAGGGTAATAAAGCGGCAATAGGAAAGATGACCAGACCAATTAGATTATACGCGGATGACTTGGGCAGTTTTAAATGGGGTATTTTAATATTTTGATAAATGTTTTTTAATGTTTATGTATTGTATGTGAATTTGTACATTGAATGTTTTCCGTATATATGCTGTGCTCCACCCTGAGAAGGGCGGAATATAAATGTTTTAAATAAATAAATAAATAAATGTTTTATTCAATTGTATTTTAAATTGTGTTTTATTTTATATTTTGTTTTAGGCATCTTGTGTTGTGTGTAAGCCACCCTAAGTCCCTTCGGGGAGATGGAAGCAGGATAAAAGAATAAAATTAGTAATATGATTATTATTGGTGTAGCTGCTGCCTGTCTTTTAAAGTGGTTTTGTGGAGTCAGATAGGAAGATGGACATTACATATATCTACCTTGCAGATTCTTTGACAAGATTTCTGGTTTTTTGTTCTTGTACTAGAATTTTGAGAGCAACAATTTATTTTATAATTTTTATAGGAATCTGCATGTATCTGCTTCTTGTTTTCTGTACCCTTATGGAATCAAGTGGGGCATGGCATTGTTTCAGATATACACACAGGACACAACTTAATAGATTTATTTGGTTATCCAGATAAACTAAATAGAAATTATTTTCATGTAAATTTCCCTTTCATAATTTATTTATTAGATACTTCTTGTGGGGGTGTTGGGCTGTTCTCATCAGGATTGAACATGCTGAGAGTTTGGATTCTATTTACAGGTTTCTGTTTTCAATGGCCAGTCCACTCAGTAATAACCAAGAGAAAATACATCTACCCAGTCTCCTTTTGTGATTGTGTTCTTACAGGGCTTTGTGTGATGAGATAACTGGGAGAGCTTTTGAGCATGCCAGAACAAAGGAGATACCTATAAAATATATAGGACAAAAAAGGACTTCAAGCTACCAGACAGACATTAATTCCAATGATTCAATCTAGTACAGAAAAAATATAAAGCCAAGTTAGGTTTTTTAATATTTTGGGCCCAGCAATCTTCTGTTTTATCAATTGGATCCAAATTCATAACAATGGCTTGTATTCCTGTAGGTTACTTCCAACTATTCAATCAATAGTTGAATGGTAAATCAACATATTGGTAAAACAAATGAATCCAGTGTGTATAATCCCATCAAATGGAGTTTAATAACAGAATTGAGGGCTATATCTGTATCATCACAATTTATCTTTTAGTGTATTTTTCTCTTTTCTCTTAAAGATCTCCGTTTAATGAATGGCACAAGTCCTTGCTCTGGGAGGGTTGAAGTTTTTCACAATGACACGTGGGTGACCATTTGTGATGCTGGCTGGGATTTACAAGATGCCCAAGTGGTCTGCAGGGAGCTGGGCTGTGGCAATGCCTCCAAAGCATTGGGTGGAGCACACTATGGCCAAGGATCGGGCCCCATTTGGCTGGAGAGCATCAACTGTACAGGAGAAGAAACATTCCTGAAGGAGTGCCAGAAGGGAGGCTGGGGAGAGCACAGTTGCAGCCACAGCCAGGATGCCAGCGTGGTGTGTTCAGGTACACGTCTTTCACACGTTTCACTTCCTGAAACCTAGATCAGGTTCATGTCTCCCAAAAATGATCATGGTCAGGATAATTCTCACTCTTGTATAATCATCAGCTGTTCTGATTAATATAAACTTTTGAGTGCAGTTAGGATGACTGAATTTCTCTGGAAATTTCAAAAAGATTGTAATCCAAATATTCAATAGCTTCTTCAACACACAATACTAATCTGAGTATTGTTTCCCCCAAAAGATGATAATCCACCCAAACCTGCTCCTAGTGATTACCATTCTGGTTAGCCAACTGCAAAAGCTTTATACCTTCGGTTGTAGTAGGTTTTTCGGGTTGTAAGACCATGTTTTAGAAGCATTGTCTCCTGACATTTCGCTTGCATCTGGGGCAAGCATCTTCAGAGGTTGTGAGGTATGTTGGCAACCAGGAAAATTGGGTTAATATATCTGTGGAAGGTCCAGGGTGGGAGAAAGAACTCTTGTCTGTTGGAGCCAGGTGTGACTGTCTCAGTTGGCCACCTTGATTAGCATTTGATGGCCTGACTGTTTTTAGGTGTGGCTTGTTACTGCCTGTGAAATTCCTTTGTTGAGAGGTGATTAGGTGTTCCTGATTGAAATTTAATATAAGAATACTTGCTGTCCTACTTGGGACATTTGTGTACTATAAATTTGATCATAAACATAGTGATATGAGGAATTGATTCCAAGCTAGTTACCCCAGTCTTCTCTGGAGTTCCCCTGTGTTTTGAGGGTTGTTTTCTAAATTTTACTTACAACTTTAGAGGGTTTTTTTAGTACTGGTAGCCAGATTTTGTTAATTTTCATGGTTTCTTCCTTTCTGTTGAAATTGTCCATATGCTTCTTGTGGATTTCAATGGCTTCTCTGTGCAGCCTGACATGGTAGTTGTTAGAGTGGTCCAGCATTTCTGTGTTCTCAAATAAATATGCTGTGTCCAAATAATATGCTGTGTCCAGGTTGGTTCATCAGGTGCTCTGCTATGACACTAACAAGCCACATCTAAAAACAGTCAGACCATCAAATGCTAATCAAGGTGGACAATTGAAATATTCACACCTAGCTCCAACAAAGAGTTCTTTCTCCCACCCTGGTAATTCCACAGATATGCATAATCCCAATTTTCCTAGTTGCCAATATACCTCACAACCTCTGAGGATGCTTGCCACAGATGCAGGAGAAATGTCAGGAGAGAATGCTTCTAAAACAGCAACCGCTGTACCACCTTTTATAAGGAATATCTGGGGGAAACTATACCAGCCGATTGCCACTAATTATAAGGAACTTAGCAGGGAAAGTAATTAGTAATAGTAATTCCCCCAAGTTACCAACTAAATTATATCAATAGGGGGATTTTTTAAACAGGAAAGAGGCAACTTGATATAGCTTTGAATTAAGACTGAACTGGGAGGTTTTGAAACTGTTTCTTCAATTGTTTTCGCTGCCACCTTTTTGTTTGGTTATCAGGCTGAGTTGTATGTGGAGAGTATATTGTGTTACAATAGTGTTTTCTTTAGATGGTTTTAAATCACAATGATGTTCACACTGAAGCTGTTATAAGGTGTTAACAATAATAAAACGTTTATTTAACAGGCTTAAACTTCTTCTGGTACAAATGCGTAGTGGTTTCAGTAAGTTACTGGTACATAAGCTTCTGGTTACGTTTGATGTACAATTCTTAGATGGGTTCTGGGTTCAAATCTTGATGTTAACAAAACAGGAGATTATCTCAGGAAATTAATTGCTGATAATAATTCCAAACAAAATTCCCCCCTTTCTGGAATCTAGCCAATAACCTTTGGCCTAGCCTTCCTCAGAGATAAAGAACAGACCACACACAGGGTCCTGTTCCACTCAGTATTCTAGCTATCTATTTATATAGCTCTTGAATACCTCAAAAGATTAACCCAGCTCTCCTATCTAACACCAACCAACTGTTATCACCAACTGACAAACTCCCAATGGACAAATTCCAACTGCCAACTCAAGCCTCAGTTCAAAAGGTACATTTTTTCCTTTTTGAACACTAGGCTCTGCCCCCTATTTTCTAACAATCCTGGCCATCTAATCTCTGCTTCCTGGATTAGGACACGCCTCCTCCTCCTCTAGAAAACCCTTAACTAAGATGGTGTCTCCCTGTTTCCCTATCCTAAGATGGCCGCCAGGGCCTCGCCAGGTCCATATTCTAACCGCTTAAGGTATGGAGTTCTTTACACCATACAACTCGAAAAACCTGCCTGCAGACTCCAGCCATGAAAGTCTTCAACAATACTTTATACCAGGCATCCTCAAACTGTGGCCCTCCAGCTGTTTTGGCCTCCAACTCCCAGAATTCCAGAGAATTGAACAAGCTGGCTAGGGCTTCTGGGAGTTGGAGGCCCAAACAGCTGGAGGGCCGCAGTTTGAGGATGCCTGCTTTATACATTCAAAATTTGGACTTTATTTCCTTTATCTTTGAAAGAAACAGTGGAGAGAGAGAGAAAAGGCAACCACTTTCAAAGTCCCTAAAAGGCCATACTACATCTATTTAGCACTTATCAATATACCCTCCCATCTTTTTTTCTGAGCATAAGATATTTGCCTGACTATAAAATATTTATGTAAATAAGACTAGGTGCCAGAGGAAGGGCAGCATTTGTTCTGAGGATCTCCTTTTAGGGCAGGGGTCCTCAAACTGTTTAAACAGAGGGCCAGGTCACAGTCCCTCAAACTGTTGGAGGGCCGGATTATAATTTGAAAAAAAACATGAATGAATTCATATACTTACTTACTTACTTACTTAGGCGATCCCTCGTTGGACGAGTAAGATGGTCTTCCATTATGGATTTCCTTGTGGATCCGTATGTGGCTGTGGAGCCCTATTCTTGCTCTGCATCTTCTTCCGCAGTGAGGGCATTGGTTTCCAGGTGGAAGGCGGTCCCGGTCGGGGTTGGCTTGACGCGCCTTCCTCCTGGCACGTCTCTCTCCCTCACCCTCCACTCGTGCCTCCTCAAATTCTGCAGCACTGCTGGTCACAGCTGTCCTCCAGCTGGAGCGCTCAAGGGCCAGGGCTTCCCAGTTCTCAGTGTCTATGCCAGAGTTTTTAAGGTTGGCTTTGAGCCCATCTTTAAATCTCTTTTCCTGTCCACCAACGTTCCGTTTTCCGTTCTTTAGTTCGGAGTAGAGCAACTGCTTTGGGAGACGGTGGTCAGGCATCCGGACAACGTGGCCGGCCCAGCGGAGTTGATGTTGGAGGACCATCGCTTCAATGCTGGTGGTCTTTGCTTCTTCCAGCACACTGACGTTTGTCCGCTTGTCTTCGCAGGAGATTTGCAGGATTTTCCGGAGGCAGCGCTGATGGAAACGTTCCAGGAGTTGCATGTGACGTCTGTAGACAGTCCACGTCTCACAGGCATATAGCAGGGTTGGGAGGACAATAGCTTTATAAACAAGCACCTTGGTATCCCTACGGATGTCCCGGTCCTCAAACACTCTCTGCTTCATTCGGGAAAATGCTGCACTTGCAGAGCTCAGGCGGTGTTGTATTTCGGCGTCGATGTTGACTTTGGTGGAATTCATATGCACAATGCACATATCTAATTTGTAGTGCAAAAACACTTAAAATAATGCAATAATTAAAATGAAGAACAATTTTAACAAATATAAGCTTATTAGTATTTCAATGGGAAGTGTGGACCTGATTTTGGCTGATGAGATAGGATTGTTGTTGTTGTTTTGTGCTTTCAAGCCATTTCAGACTTAGGTTGACCCTGAGCGAGGGCCGGGTAAATGACCTTGGAGGGCCGTATCCGGCCCCCGGGCCTTAGTTTGAGGACCCATGTTCTAGGGTTTTGTTAAAGCTGCCAATAGAGTACATCATGTACAATATTCTCGCTCTTCAACCAGAGCAAAACTCCTTGTCTTGGTACATCATTTAAGGGAGTCAGTAGCATCTCCTTAACTAAGCCCTAACATAGATTTCCAGCTGTTATTACTGTACAGCCAAATGAGTGTACATAGTCTACTTCTTGCAATACTAGAACAAATGAAAAGCCACAGCAGGAAAAAATGGCTTCCAGAACTCCTTTATAGGCTAGATAGAAGAGCAAAATACTGTACAATTGGAACGAAATCTAACTGGGCTCCCAGCTGAAAGAGACACCTGTAATAAATCAGTTAAATGTTCCATAGCAATATACATCATTTCCATTTCAACAACTGATTCTGTTAGTCTCTTTTGGTTGGGAGTAGTGATTGAATCAAGGACACTGGGATGCCATGTGTGATGGAAGAGTTCATTAGGAGGAGCTCCAGCTGCAGATCTCAGGATCCCTGGTTTGATACTCATTTTCAGTACACAATTTTCCTTCCAAATTTTAATTTGTTCAGTAATTGGTCCTACAGTAAAGTCTTGCTTATCCAACCTCCGTTCATCCAACATGCTGGATCATGCAACGCAATCCAGGGTAGGAGGAAAAAGAACCCTAGTCTGTTTTGGTACTAAATTCATAAATACAGTAATTACTATATAATACTACTGTGTATTGAACTGTTTTTTCTGTCATTTTGTTGTAAAACATGATGTTTTGGTGCTTAATTTGTAAAACATAAATAATGTAATTTGATGTTGAATAGGCTTCTCCTTAATCCCTCCTTATTATCCAACATTTTCGCTTATCCAATGTTTTTGTTGGATAAGCGAGACTTCACTGTACTTGTAATTTGGCTTTTCATTCAGTTTCTGGACTTTTTAAATGCTTCCTTTTTGCTGCTTGATTCTGTCTATTATTGTTATGCTGTGTTATGCTTTTTAAATTGCAATTTGTTATTGCTTTGCTTTTAACTGTATGTTGCCTGGGCTTGGCCCCATGTAAGCCGGCCCTAGTCCCTCCAGGGAGATGGCGGTGAGGTAGAAAAATAAAGTTCTTCTTCTTCTTCCTTGGTGGCAATTCGTTTTATCCATGCCCATTGGAGGAGGTTAGAGGGAGAGAGAGCTCTTTTAGTGG